AGCCTGCTTTCAGAAACACAAGGTATCTTTCTTACTGTACTGGTGGTCTTTTCTTAGCACTATCACAAGATTTTAGAACATCTATACTCTTTGGTTTAGTCAGTACAGCACTTACAAGAGCTGTCACACCGCTCTTTATCTCAAATGTCAGGACCAGTGTCTGGACCCCTAAAAAATGTATAGGATGGGGATTTTTCCCAGGAGGGGAATAAAAGAGCAAGGAAGTCATATATTTGATACCGGACTGGAAAATTTGGCCTGAATTGAAGATCAGTGGACTACATATTAGCTTACATTGGTGAATGGAGGGGGAAAGGTTGTAGTTTTTGTTTTTCCCACTCATCTTCCCTGGCTGAGAGAGATGGCAGACTGTGGGGAAAGAAAGAGATGGTGAAAAAAAGGCTGGTTACTGATATCAGCAGGCCGGATGGGAGCCCCATGGATGGTATCGTGCGAGATGCCTAGGAACCTGTTACAGCTTTCCCTAAGAGCTTGCTGCGGGCTAGTGTCAAAAGTTCAGCTACGCAAACTACTGCTTTTTTATGGCAAAGGATCATTCTAAACAAGCAAAGCGGCCTGTAGAGTTGAGAATTCAGTGATCAAACTGAAACAGGAGCCTCTTCTGTAATTTGAATATGCATGTGCGTGCATCTATTTGTGTATGCTACTTCCGGAAGGTGTAAGGCAGCTGGATTGGTGGACAGCAGACAAGTATCTCTCTCAGAGCAGCAGACATCATGTCAAAGGCAACAAGTAGGACAGTAACCTGGGTGAGGAGGGGAGTTGTCTCATGGCTCAGGGAAGAGTCTCAGGCACAGGTAAGGCAGAGGACTCTTAGAAAAGTCTGCGTTATAGTGGCTGACAATAAGATCCCTGCTTTGCTCTCAGCTAGTGGTGAGTGAGTGACTTGTGCTCACGCATCTCCCATCCCTCTGCTAGGCTCTCGAAGCGGAGTGCAACTCCCACAGGGCAGTTTGTGCAAACGTAGTGAGGAGGGGCTGGGAGCTGAGCCAGAAGAACCACGCACACAAGGAGGACATCCTGAGGCAGACGGACAACCTCCAGAAGCTGTGGCAGCAGCTCCAAGATGAAGTGGCTGATCGCAAAAGCCGTCTGCAGGCAGCAGCTCTCATCAAACAGGTCAGCGGGGCTTCACTGTGGCGTGCGACACTGGGGACACAAACACGGTTCAGTTCTGCCGTGTGCCCCTGCAGGCAGGGCAACAGGGGAGGAAAACTTCAGACTTCAAAAAGAGAGTGCCAGCGGTTCCAGGCTCATGCCAGCTGCAAGCTGACCAGGCCGTGGAGAGGAGCGGTTTGTGCCAAGGAGGCTACCTCGGCTGGTGTTTGTTCTCAGTTAAAAATGCTAGTGGAAGGCGCTCACGTAACACTGCTGATGCACAGTCTTTTCTGAGGGATCTCGGTAGCTCTGTGACATTTTTCTGACATTAAAAAAAAACCAGCAAAACATACATGTCATAAGGCTTGGATCCGGATCATGAATTTCCCAAAGCCTGGGAAATGCTTGAGCCTGCCATGCTGATCTGCACAGCTCTCTTGCACATGCGAACATTCGCACAGCTGCAGACAAAGAGCTCCTTTAAAATCAGCATTCACAAATTACCTATCAGTACCTCAGATATTCTTATAATTACCTCTTTCCTACTTTTTTTGCTCGGCTTCATAACATCATTATTATGTTGTTTTATTTTCTTTTTTCTTTTCCCATCACTACTACTGTGGGTTTTTGCTGTTATGCTTTTACTCTGTATCACAATATCTTGTTTTGTTGTGTTTTGGGATTTTTAACAATCACAGCTAGGCAGAGGCAATGCATGGAAAAAAGAAGAAAGTTTTTATTGTAGACTCTGAACTGATTGTTCATTGTTAGGTTAGTCTTTGCAACCTTTAGAAAATAGCTGTTGCTGAAATTGCACAATGTCTACTGTGAAATATCTTATATTGCCACTATTGAGCAGCATAAAGGTTTAGTTACTTAAGTAGTTTCAGCATAACGGTTTAGTTACTTAGGTACTTTCAAAGAGTTATACGAGGCAGTGCTTGAGTCTAATTTATGCACAGTGATTGTCTGACTTACCATGAAGTATATTAAGGATTTAGAGCTCTAGAGCCACCTTTTCATAGCTTACGCAACACCTTGAAGTAACCTCATAGCTGCAGTTCTAACGGAATGTCTACCTTGCTGAGGCTGGTCTTCAAAAGAGGAAGGAGGTTCATATGAAGCTTCCAGGATGAAACCCAGTGTTTTCTTCTCCTGTGCTCCCTTCAGTATTTTGCTGACATTGATGAAGCAAATTCATGGCTGCAAGAAAGACAGCCTCTTCTGGTCAGCAAGGACTATGGAAAAGATGAATCCAGTGCCGAAGCGCTGTTGCATCGGCACTTGCGTCTGGAGAAGGAGATTGCAGCCTACTCCTCGGAGATGAGACGCCTGCAAGAACAGGCCAACGTTGCGGCAGAGCAAGCACCAGCTGCAGTAAGTAGGCGAGGGCTTGTGTCATATTTTGTTCCTTTGTTTTGAAACTACTAGAGTTGGCTAGAAATTTCCCACAGAATATTTTTTCAACTGGAAAGTGGTGTTCTGATGTTGTCTGAACCTTTTTCAGTAAGGCATCGATTTCAACAAAATTTTCATTTGTAAAACAGATTGAAGAAAAAGCTTGTTAAGTTTGAATCAATACATTTCAGAACGGAATATTCTATGTTTTAAAATTACTTTGGCTGTGATAGTTTTCTAATTTTATATTATACCTTATAAAATGTTTCTGAATAATGCAAAATATTTTACCAGAACAGAATTTTCCATATGACCTAAAAAAGAGTCTTTTTTTTCCTCTTAATAATTCAGTAGAAAATTTGATTTAGAATTGAAGAAAATTTTACATGACAGGGAAGTTCATTGGCCACTTTTAGCCCACCTAGTTAGTGTTCTGTGATTTGAGATTCAGACTTCTTGCTATAATAGGCTGATAAACAGTGAAATCCTAGAGATAGGCTCATCTATATTATTCCTCTTTATTGGTCCTCACAAATCCCTCTCACTCTTTACTTTCACAACGATATTCATTTCAACCAGCTATAGAAAGCAGACATTTAATCAAAATAGCCTTACAAATTCTTTTGGAATCCTAATGTAGTGAACAGCAAAAATTCATCCCATGCCAAGATAACTGTTTAGGGCACATGGAATGAAGTCAGCCTCTGCAGATGCCTCCCTTTTTCACTGACTAGAAAGGGAACTTCTTACTAGAGACCAGCTCATTAGACAACAAAAGTCAGGGAAGATGCGTAACATTTCAGACCTGTCTAGGTTTGTTTCTTTCAGATTCCTGTGATATATAGTCAAACCAGCTGGAGAGCTATGAGCATCACTTTGGGACTTTCATTTGCTTCATGATTCCGATATTCATCGTTATTGGAACAAAAATTGTTTTGCTCTGTTATTATACATGAAAAAACATGTGACTGCTGGTGTCAGTGTGCAAATAAAAGCATTTATTCCCTAGGGCACTCTGTAGGCCTTGAAACTACAAGTAATCAGATGTTGAAAATATCACAAGTAGAACGGTGAGCCTAGTGGATTCTACAATTTGTTGGCAATTTTAAAAATTAAGACAAGTTGAATTTGACCTAAAATGAATTTTTTTGGAGAATCAGAACATTTTAAACTGAGCTAAAGGAAATTTCTTTAACAGAACTGAAATGTTTTTCAGTTATTCAGTTAATTCTTTCAGAATAAAAAAGAAAATAGGTTCAAACTAATGCAGGAAATGTTTTATTTAAAAGGTCAGAATGTTGTAATCTGAACCAGAAAGTCTGAATTTCCTTTCTAAATAATTTTTGTATCCAAATTAGAAGTATTCAGACACTGATTCTGTTAAACTTTGCTTTACAGATGGTGAAGATGGAAGCTCCAAGTGACTTAACTCAGAAGACAACTAAGCTATCATTCAGTCGAACCTGGGCTACATCTGACACTTCGTTTCCTGGTACTCCCAGTCAAGATGTTCATTTTGTTCCAGAGAACATCTGGAAGACCCAAGAGGAAATAGACTCACTTTATGAAAATCTGCAGAGCATGGCTGAGGTATGATATCCCTGCCAATCTTTTGGGCCTCAACAAAAGCTGTGCCTCATCTTCTCTTTTTTAGTTCCAGTAATGTGCCTCAGTCCTGAAAGAGGTGGCTACCGTTCAGGGTGGAATTTCAAGGGCTGAGATTATCATTGAAGTTTTATGTCAAACTGCGTCAGAGCCTGTCTGTTCGCTTTGTATTGGCAAACTTTCCATTTACCTTCCAGTCTTTATATTTCTGGAAGAGTAGATTCTTTGATATAATCTTCGTTTTTCTAATGTTTGCTTGCTGCAGCTGAAGGCCTGTGCCAGACTAAAAAATATTTTGTCTTAAGTCTATGGGCTGTCATGCATGATATGAGAAAATGAAAACAATTGTAATCTGCATTCTGCATTTACTGTCTTTCATTCTGACCTACTGCAATGCTGCCCAAAAGACCAGGAAAAATATCTTATAAGGGTTTTTACATGTTCCCAAGATTACTGAGGTAAATCTTCAGTAAGCAGCATGCAACACTTGTGGCCTTGCTGTTTGTCAGAGGCTGAGCACTCTCTAATGGCTTTCCCTATGCTTTTAAACCACTGTTGCTCTGGGAAGAAGTATTCTAAGACCTTCAGGTTCTCTTTCAGTAATATCAGGCAAAATGATATGGTAGTTTATTTATACACAAGGATCCTTTTTCTTCAAAAGGCAAGGTAGTTATTACAGCAATACTTAAGTTTTCTTCTGCTTTGCAGGACAGAAAGAAGACTCTGGAGGACACGATTGGATATTACCGTTTCTGTAGTTCATGTGAAGAATTTCAGGCATGGATGAAAGAAAAAGAGAACATTTTCCGGACTCTTCGACCTCAAGCAGACAATGTGGAGGTCATGCAGCAGAAATACCAGGTACCCCTTTTCCCTGCTCACAGGTGACACCTTGTAAATCACACTGACTTTAGAAGAATGGAGGAAGCTGATAAGTGAACTCTTGAGAGTCTTTTTATTAATTACACTTCAAGCTATGGGGTTGTGTATAGAGCGGTTGTTCCTTTAGTATAAACAATGCCAAGTTTATTGAAGTTGATGTAATCATGCCGCTTTAGCTCCTTTTGTGGATACTTATCATGGCACAAAAGGACTCTTTTTGTGGTTTCTTTGGGAGGCTTTAAAACACAAGAAGAAAAAAATCCTGCAGTGCACTTGCATCACAGTGGAGTTAGATGTATGTGCATAGACATATTGTGCAAGCCTGGAGTAGGTCAGAAGGGTTAAGAGGGAACTACACGTGTAGATCTGTATTGTGTCAGCAGATAGGTAAGTGAACAAAGAGAGGTAAGGTGCAGAAGTCAAACTATATGACATGCAGAAATAGAAGATGAGTGAACATGACAGATTATTGAGCATTTTGTCCCCAGAGTTGGAAAAATCTCAAGTTCTGCATTCTTGTATCTTTTCTGTTTTAGAGCTTTTTAGTGGAACTGGCTGCAGGGAAGGACCAGCTGGGAGATATTGAAAAATTAGCTGGTAAATCTGCAACAAGAAATCCCAGCAAATATTCTGAGATCCAAGTTTGGCTGAAAGAGATCAATAGCAGGTAAAGGTGCTACTGGTAAAATGGAGATTGTCTCATGGGAACAACTGCAGAACTGACCTTTCATGCCTGATTTGAACTACACTGAGAAAACATCAGTCTGATAGATTTTAACTCCCAGAATTTGCCTAAAGTTTGAAAAAACAGGTCTTTCCAAGGGGGCATTTTTGCATGTGATTGGAGTTTACTGTTTTCCACTGCAGCTCTCTTCACCAAATACAGAATGGAAAAACTTTCCCATTAGTTGCTCAGCAAGTTCTAAATCCAGCAGTTTGCCAAGAAGTAATAACAAATGTTGAGTTTTTGCATTAAAGCTCAGTGAGCTCTTTGTGCACATGCTCTACCAGAAATGTGACATAAAGGAAGGGAAAGGCAGAGATAGCCTAACTGTAGTTTCTTCAGACAGCTGAAGATCCCCTTTTCTACATGAATAGCTTGCATAATGGATCAGACTCTCCCATATTAGACACTTACACATAGCCTGATTTGATATGCATAAATCCTGGTAATGAGTTCCTAAAATAGAAGTGGAATCAACCTAAGGATGCTGTTGGACACCTGTGCGAAAAGGACGCTAGAAACAGCCGCTGTGGCTGAATGTTGCCCTGACGTACTGATCAGGAAGGCTCTTTTTGTCCTCTCTTCCCCTTTGATCTTCCAATCCTAGATGAATGGCTGGAAACAGGTGAAATACAATATTTGTTAGGTGAGATGTCAACTGTCAGGGCGCTATGCCAGCCAGTAGCTCCCTGCAGACAGGGGCCGGTACTGGTGGGAGCTCCCGGTGGGGCAGGGCTGGGCCATGAGGGAGCAGGGCAGAGCAGCCTGCTGCTCCTTCAGGGAGAGGCCGGCAGGAGCTAGGGAGATAACGGGGATGAGAGGGATATCACCATCCACAGCCCACCAGTGAGTGGGGCAGGGCCAGGGGTGGCAGCCAGTATCACACAAGAGTCCCCATCATTGTGGCAGCCTGTCTCCAAGGTCCCAAGCGGGAAGGGGGCAGCCCTCATCTGCGTAGCTCTAGGTTGGCCCTGAGTGCCCCACAGCCAGAGCTCCAGGAGTGGGGGATGCTCTCAGGGCCCTGACGTCAGGATATTTAAACTGCAGCAATTTGCAGTGTGAAAGGAAGCACAACATGAACCCGCTTGCAGAGGACAGTGATGGATTCAGAACAGTTCTGTCTGTACTGCACTGCAAGGAACTGATTTGGTTGCTTAGATGTCAGGTCTAGGATGCCCTTTGTAAATATTGAAAGGAACATCAAACCCTGCCTGACTGCACCAAGTATGTTTGATACCTGCTGAATACATAGTCCTGGTACCACTCCACCCAGCTGGACCTATAAGGCACTGCCAGATCCTGATTTTGACCAGTATTATTTATTTGCATTGCGTCCAGAGTTTATTGGTCACCTGAGCAGGGTTGCTTTGTTTGAGGTGAAATTCACTCTGAGGTTGAGGGCGAACACTAGTGTTCACCCTCTCAGCCTGCTTAAGTAATGATGAAATCTATGCAAGGCTTCATCTGAACAGAAAAAGGATGTAGCATACTTACTTCCCTTTCCTTCCTTGCTTCCTTGATTTTGGCACAGAAACAAATCTCATCCTGGGTAAAACTGTACAACAAAGGCTATGAACTGAACTTGTGTCCTTTAGGTGAAGGCAAGTTTTATGGTAGTGGCTGAGGCTAGATGCAAGTAACTGGGTTTTTTTTCTCAAAGGTGGGAGCGCATGGAATCTTTGAAGGAGGAGAAGGGCTCGGAGCTAATCGGGGTGGCGGATGTGAAGACTTTTCTTCAAGATTGTCAGAGCATAGGGGTGCTCCTGCAAGACAAGATGGTTCAACTCACAGGTCTGGAACCTGGACACTCACCTGCTGGGCTGGAGTCAGACAAGCGCAAACTGTCTGCAATTGAGAGAGAGGTCCTAGTGATGGAGAGAAAAATTGAATACTTGAGGAGTGTAGCTAAATCGTAAGTAACCTGCTTTTCTTTTCTATATTCTTTGGTAATTATCTAAGATCATGTTGTAAATGATGGCTATAACAAGAATGAGGAATTTATGAAGTCTCTGTCTAGCACTGTGAAGAACTCCCTTGCCCGCTGGAGAGCAATCTTTCCCGAGTATGTCTGGGAGATTGGCTAAGTGATTGCCTCCAGACTTCACTATTGTAAGAGAAATCTGTGAATACCACAGGATTGTGCCTCTAACTAACAATTTACCTCTGCTAATGGGAGTTATTTCAAAATTCTGAACCGGATCCTGCTTAGACCCTGAAATACAGCAATCAGAGGAAGCAAGGATAAAGGAAGAAATACAGCAAATAATTGTGCTCTGCAGTTTGAATTTGAAATTTGAATTTAAAGCGCGCTATTTGTTTAAATCTTCTGTGTATTTACAATGGGAACGAGCCACTAAACTACAAGGGTATTACCAGTCTTTTGATGGGATGCATTTTCTGCAGGTATGCTGATGTTTCTTGCTAGCGTACAGCATTTGGTGCCTTAGCTGACTTTAATGGAACTACAAATACCCAGATCCATGGCTTTTAAAGAGCGCTAGTTTGAGCTCTAAATGCCTGAGGCTGCTCCTACAATTGAATGTATTTGATTTCTTGCTGCAGGATTAAGGACACCAACCCTGCAGAGAGCAGGGCTATCACGGAGCAGGTGGAAAACATGGAGAGGCTTCTGATAAAGCTAAAGTTGGATACGAAAAAGAAGTGGGACATTCTGCAGCAGGCCCGAAATCAGCAGTCCTTCCGGCAAGATAGCCGCAGGCTCCTCCTGTGGGCAGAAGGCATCAGGGAGAAGCTGAGAAGTGAAGAAATGGGCGTGGACATGGCTTCTGCAGAGCAATTGCTGAAGGAGCATCAGGACCTGCTGAAAGAAATTAGGTCTCAGAAGCAAAGGTAGAGAGATTCTATCAGAGCGGGCAGAGCGGGGTGTTACTACAACAGTATTGTGAAGGTGAAATGTGTCTATTGTACATAAATTGTATATGAAAGTGATGCTGAGGGTTTATTTAAATGCTTATGAAATTTAGCATGAAAAGGAGGCTGCTGAACACATAACCCAGTTAGCTTCTGCACATTTGGACATTTACTACGATGAGGGAGGCTATCTGTTCCAAAAATGGCAAAGCCTGTTTATGTGGACTTTCAAACCAAACAGGGAAATCTCACCTACTACCTCAGCATGTATCCCCAGAGCAAATGACCACTTGCAGTCTGTAGTCCATGACATTGGCTGGAACAAGAGAGAAAAGTAGGGAGGGAAGCTAAAGAAGAAAACAAATCTTATGCATTCCCTCAGTATTTGGGCATTACCAAGGGAGCAAGGAACTATGATGAAAGAGAATTCAGATTCTGTCATGCAATGAAATCTTGCTTTTCTTTCTGACTCTGGGAAGATTTGTGCAACTGGAAGAGCTAGGGCGCAAGGTAATCCACGAACAACCCAGTAACAGTAGGACCGGGGAGGTCCACCAGTCCATGGAGAGGCTGGCTGAGGAAAACAAATTGCTGGAGAAGATGTGGGAGCAGCGACAGAAAAAGCTGCAGGATGGCCTGGAATTGCACAAGTTCAACAGGGAGGCAGATCGCATCAATGCAGCCCTCTCCAGCCATGAGGCCTTTCTCCGGGGAGACGACCTTGGGGTAGGTGCAGCAGCAGCTCCTTTTTTCCCTCCCCATCCAGGGAGCCACAATAATTTTCTTAATTAGATCAGCTTACTCATTCTTATAGTCATGGCATATTTGGAAATCAGTCTTTTAGGGCGTGGGTTTTATGTTCTTATCTATCTCAATGAGAACTAGGCTCATTGTCTCTCAAAAACATTTAAAAAAACAGTAAGTGTTGTGACCCATTGCTGTGTTTGTGCATGTCAGCTGGTTGTATATACAAGTGGGTCTTTAGTTTGCTGGTTAACCACAGAAAAGGTTTAGCTTGAACATGAATAGTATTTTTTCAGTGAAATGGAATCCTGAGACGAAGGATGGAATCATGACTTTTTTTAAAAATGAAGCTTTTTCTTTTCACTGAATGTTTTTAAGAACATTAAAGCAAATGAAAGGAAAAATCAAATGCCAGCAATAGTCACAAGATCAGTGGAGGAGGAGATTGTAGTGCCTCACCTTCTTTTATGTTTTCAGCTGAAACAGTGCGAGATTTTGGGGGCAACTAAATGGAATAAATATTTAGTTAATTATGGCCCTTCATATTGCTCTTCCCTAACTGTACCAGAGTGCTGGCCTAGCTTATGGAATGCAGATTTTCTTAAAAGATGAAAAAGGAACCCTAATAATGGAGTAATCATAAGGCAGGGGAACAAAATGCAACACAAACCTAAGCACACCTGCTGCTGGTTTACAACCCTGAATTTCCTTAGACATGTGCAAAATGTGTGGTATATCTTCCGCCTGAAAAAAAAAAGTAAGATCAAAAATTTTTTCATTGCTATAGAAACAACACACAACAGGAAGAACTTGATCAACTTTTCTTTTTCAAATGCAGGACCATGTGGATGCTGTTCGAAGCCTGCTAAAGCGTCACGAGGAATTTGAACGACTGCTGATGGTGCTGAAGAGACGAGTTGAGGCACTTAATGAGAATGGGGGGAAGCTAACAGAGAGCAGACACTTTTCATCTCGCATGTGAGTTCAGACTTCTTCCCCCTTTGAGTTCAAAGGGGGAACTAGATAAAACAGGGATTCCACAGCAGATGTTCAGCTGTGGTAAAACATCAAATGTAAATGTAATTAGGTGTGAAATGAAAAACTGTCTCTCAGTCAGGATTCAGCTGATCTCCAAACTGTTGTCTTCTGGGTAAGGAGGGAAAAAGGGAATTCTCAAAAAGATATAGATTTCCTGTGCTTTCAGGAGAAGTAAGAGAAATGCAGGGAAATGCTTTAGTTTAAAAGTGGCATTTGTCAAAGCACTAGAATAATTCTCTACATACAGTTCTAAGATTTCTTTAATGTAAACTCATTACATACCCACATAATTTAATTTTTCTTTCATTTATCAACATTACTTAGAATTAATATAGTGCTTGCTGTTAAAAAGTCACAGAGCACTGCGCAAGGAAATAACTCGTCATCATCGTATTATGGACCTGATTCACATTCACATTGAAGGTCCTTCATGTTATTTTGAAAAATGAATTGTCATCTGTGGTTCCTTTATCGTGTTAGTGCCACTAGAATCTAGTAAGGGGACTTCTGTATAAACAAGGATTAGAAATATAGGGTCACATTGGACCTCTTGGGTCAAAAAGACCACGTTCTTGTAATCACAGGTGATAATGTCTTGAAAATTCCTTCGTAAATTTCTAAAACTGCTCTTAAAATCAGATTTCTTGCTGCATTAGAAGACTATTCGCAGCTCCACTACACTTATATCACAGAGAAAATTATTAGTTAAGGTGGAATATTTGGGAAGGAGGAAAACCTAGGTGTTTAGTCAAACACAGGATGGCTACAAGTCTCTAATGTAATACAGCTATACAAAAGAAAAATCAGAGAAGTAGGCAAGCGGGAATTGCTTGTCTGACAAGCCAGGGTGGTCATGGAACAGGGCCATTTACCCCGTCCCCCTCTCAACAGATGCATTGAGCTAGATTCCAGTTATATCATATTCATGGCTACAGAATGATCACAGACACCCATATGACAGCTACTGCACTGGGCTTACTGTTTTTCTTGGTAGTATTGAAGAGCGAATGGCTACTCTCCAGCAAAGATGGGAACAGTTGGTACTAAGCAATGCACAGAGAAAACAGAGGTTGTTGGATTCCCTACAGCTACAGGTAAAAGGACTGATTCTGCAGATTTGGTCAAGCATGCGTGAAGTAATTTTACCCTTTGTCTTAACATGGGATGAATCTCAAACTGCTGAGCATTCCCAATGCAGACCAATTTATTTTTGAGTGTGAGACAGAGAATTTCACTTTCCAGGGAGGAGATGATGCACTCATGATAAGTCTTACAAAGCTATACCAAAATAAAAATGGAAATATTCAGTGAAAAATATCAACTGAGTATTTTATTTACTGGATAAGTTCATTCTGCTCAGTGCTTAATGTTGTTCTAGTCCTTAATCATTTGGCACAAATTAATGCTTCACTGTAGTTTAATGCAATTGGGAAGAATATATGAAGGAAGTGGTACTCCATAACCATCAATGGATAATCTCTCATTCACATTCTGGATTTGGAATGAAAGCTTTTCTTCTGAGAGATAAGGGCAGGTTATGCTACTATAGTGTTAACTGTGCATGCTCTCTTGTGCTTAATGAAATGGTGTTGTGTCATATTGTGTTATAACGGGAACAGCAAAAGTTAGAATACGATTAACTTTTTCTTTTTTGCATCTTAGTTTCATCTTTATCTGATCATAATTATTAATATGATTATTGTTTTTATTTACTGTACATGCAAAGAAAGATTTTGCGTTCAGGATTTGGTTTTCCGAGACGCTTTATCTGTTTACGTTGTATATGCAAACGTTGCAAGTTCCCTCTGCATCCCCTAGACTGCATTCATTATACTTTTTCACTCAGAGTGTTTGTGAAGAATTGAAGAAACGTTAACTATGATTCCTATTCTGGCCTATATAAGGACCTCTACAGGAAAATAGCCATCAAAACTGTGTAATATATAATTGGGATGGACGATTACCTTATACTAATTGTATGTGATAGTTATACTAACTGTACTTTCCATATAGTTTGAGATTTTTGGCACAGAATTTAGCTTTCAGTGCTGAAATGCAAAGTTATACTGGAGGGATAGGCCACGTGTAATTGAAATATTCTATCAGAAATGCAGCCATTCATTGACAATTACAGGCAGCAGATTAGTAAATACGGTAAAAAGGGACTAAGATATTACTCTGGGGACTCAAGAACTTGTCAATGGTTCAAGATCGTAACTCACGAATTAAGAGTGTTGATTATGTAGAGCAGCGTTCATATGAAAATGTGTCACATTTCCTAACGCGTAGAAAAAAGTGAGGGCTTAATCCTTACGGCAAGGACGCACTGCAAACCCCCATAAAATTAGAAGTTAAACCTGTCTAATCCTGTTTGTTTCTGTAAGGAGTTTAATCGTGATGCTGCTGAGCTTTTGATATGGATGGAAGAGAAGTACAAGATTGCATCAGATGAATCCTATCGTGATCCAACAAATGTTCTGCGCAAACTGAAGTGGCATGAGGCTGCTGAGAAGGAAATGATGGCTAATGAGGAACACTTTGCAACACTGATAAAGGTGAAGGCAGTTTTGGACCTAAGCCTTCCGTCTTGTCCCAAGCTCTATAGCCATTGATCTGCTCAAAACAGTGATGTGCTGTGTCTCTCCAGAAAGGAAATCAACTGATTCAAGATGACCATTATGCAGCAGTTTCTATCCAGAAGAAGATGTCAGAGCTACAGAAGAAGTGGGAGAAATTGTATGGCAAGATGATAGAGCGAGGCGACAAGCTGAGACAAGCTGGGCAGCAAGAACAGCTCATGGAACTGCTCCAGGTCAGGAGGTGGTGGGATGCATGGGGGAGGGATGGCTTAGGAATCTGGTTTCTCTGTTGATACGGAGTGTTCCTCACAAAAAAAGAGCAGGCACAGGGGTTATCATCCAGGCAAAAGTATATTTTAAGGTGTCCTAACATCAGACAGATTGCTGGACTTTGTCTACACTCTCAAGAGAGAAAACCCAATATAAAGCTGACCAACACCATTCTAAAGCTTTGAGCAGAGTAATAGTGCCAGTACAGCACCAAGACACAAAGCTGCTGAGCTCAGGCTCAGCACTGCACCTGTGTAGCCATCCTGCCAATGCAGGAAACCAAGGAAACTCTCTGCACGGTTCA